CGCTTAATTGCGTCTTTAAGATTACAATGACGCTTTCAGAATCATGTTTGATTGAAAATTAACGTTTGTACAGAGGCTTAAAGTTCATAACTTTTGGAGCCTCCGCTATAAACAAATAGAATTGTGCGAAAACTATTGCACCTACAGCGCCCACTTTTGGCACACTTTTATAGTATGACAAAACCCTCAAATTGTCATAGGTTTTATAAAATTTTAACAACAAATCCGATAGTTATTGATGCTTTTCCCTGCAAAGTGAAAAAACTGTTTTCCTCACTTATTTGTTTAAATAAAAAAGTTAGCTAAAGAAAGTGATTCACGAGACGAGAGATGTCTTGTATTATGTTCCTTTAGACAATTTTACAATAATCTCGCGGATAAGACTTTTTTCGAGTTTCTCTTTTATTTTCGCTAATTTTCCTGGTGTAGTAGATCTGCCACCGTGTATAGTGTATACAATATGATGTTATGATGCCCATCGAGATGCGTATTTTAAACGGAGCGAATATACCCCCCGGCGACGACACATGCGACCCTTTTATAGAATGATACATTAATTCCCCAACCATCTGGAATGGTCAATTACAAAATTTTTTGGTAGACCTAATATGTTTTATTTCAATAAATATAAATAAAAATAAATTTGTCAAAATTACATTTTTTTATTTTTTCGCATAAGTATAGGTATCTCTTATATTTCCAGAACTAATTTAGATAGAGACATCATTCCGATGGAAATCGATGTAATATTACATTGGGAAATTTTGCTTTAAATTTCCCACATTTATAATATTGACATATATTTCCTGCCATTATTAATTTATTTTAAATACCTATGTATACAGTAAACAGAACACCGATTCAACACCAGTTTTTTATACATTACGTAGTGCCGATTTTTTTATTCCAGTCTTACCTAGAGCAATCTACAAACGAATTACTATACCCCTTGTATAATAGAAACCGCCTAGACCTACAGTTAGTTCCTTAGCACAAATTTCAGAAATATTTATAAGGAGACAGCCGATAGATGTCCACACTATCTTTCGTATCATTCTACTGGTTAACAAAATTTGCATGGGGATTATATTACTATATTTACTTATACAATGGTAATAGCGACGTAGTGGATGAAATCCCTCTTTAATAATTAGCATCTAACAAGGCCATCTTGCTTATGGGGCGTCCTCGCACCAGGAAAGTAGCCTGTAACACAAAGCCTACCAGTATCTACGTTTTCTTACAGATTAGTTGGTATTTTCCAATCAGTTTCTAAACAAAGTGTGGTATCACATTTCCTTTACTAAGCCTACCTCAACAACGGCCTACTAAAATCGACCTTGCAATATCAGCATTCTATAGATTTGTTATTAACATCTGCTTTAAACACAACTGTTAGAATGGGCGGTTTATATTAAAAGACGTGAATTTTATTTCCACTTCAGAACGACCTTAACTTAATACAATTCTTTTTCGTCGGTTCTCATTCTCGACACATTGATTTATTCGGTCAGTCATACCACTCTGTTCATTTACTCACTGATCTTTGCTCAATCATTCGTTCAATTATACGTTACTCATAAGTCATAACTAACATTTATCCAGCGTTATGATAAGAGGCACCTCTTCATTTAATGAGAGTGCGCTCACTGGTACTCCCACTTAAAATAAAAATAAATAATACTCTTGCAGTATTCCTGCACTAGTGGTACTCCCACTAAAAACAAAAATAAATAATACTCTTGCAGTACTCCTGCACTAGTGGTACTTCCACTAAAAACAAAAATAAATAATACTTTTGCAGTACTTCTGCACTAGTGGTACTCCCACAATTTTTTTTTCTTTAAGTTCAGAGGTACATGCCTTGCCATGCACTTAACTTTTTCTCTTTTTTTTTGAAAATTCAGAGGTACATGCCTTACCATGCACTTAACTTCATTTTAATTTACAATTAGATTGCCCAACCATGAGTACTAATTAACAATACATACTTTTCACCGACTGGACGGCTAACGCCTTAACTAACTCTTGTGCCTTTTATTTTAAATAATGTCATACTCACAGTTACGATTCCTTCGTTACTACCTAGAGTGCTCCCATCGGACCCTCTTTATTTTTGTATCTACCTATTGTACTCCCAAAGATTCATTTCTTTCTCTTTATCGGCCTTTCTTTTGATAGTTTTCAGTGATATAGCTCGACCTTGAGGAATTGGTTTACCACGTATTCCTCCAGGAACAAACAAACTCATCATAGCACTGATTGGAGTCTTTCACTAGTTGACCTCTTTCCATTGCGACTCTTTCTAATTCAATCTCGAAGTATGGACTCTGGATCTCATGTTCTCAAGACTAGCACACGCACGCTCTTTTCATTGTCCGTAATGTGTAATACGCTACTACATCTTAATGGCACTTTGCACTGAGGCTTTTAACTGAGCTTTTTTTTCAGTTGTTTTTCTTTTTGCACTTTTTTTCAAAACCTTTTACTGTCCTTAGATTTGACTAGGAGACACTTTGTATTTGGCTAAGTGTACAGGGTGGTTGATTTTCGATAGTTTTATAGGGTACAGACAAAACGGTGATAGATACAAAAAATCTGATATCGATGTCCCGTCCTCTTTTTTTGAGTTTACTTCGCTGGTCCCAAAAGATCTTGGCTAACTTGATTAGTTTTAGATATACAGGGTTTTTTTGAAAAATGGCCCATTTACATTAACCTCTCTATCTCCGTTGTCATTCAATTTAGAAGAAAAAAGTGTGCACATTATTTGTTCTATTTTTTATTAGGAAGCCATTGGCGTACTCAGATTTTTTACAAATCGCACAGTTTCTCCGATATTGCATAAACATAGGTTTTTTTAAATAGAACACCCTGTATTTGGCCATCCCGTTGAGTAGCATTTTTTTTTACCTTTTCAGCCATATATAATAATAGATACTTTTTATTTGCCTAAATGAAGAAAAATGCAAAAATGTAGATATAGATATTTTTTCAGTTGGCCATGTTATTTATTTATTCGTCTTTTGTTGTTTAATATTGACAGTTAGTTTATTTTTGACTGATTGAAAGCTTGTTAAACGTCTATTACTTGGTTTTAATTTTGAAAAGTATAAAAATGGTGTACGAAAATCTTCACAAAGTTCAAATGTTAGAGTGTTACATTGAAAGTGAAAAAAATA